GGCCCAGGCGATGGATGTGATGGGATATTCCTGGAGCTGGGAGCTGTACAGGAGCCGCCCGTAGCTGTCCCAGACCTGCCCAAAAAAGTTCAAATATCCACCTCAACCACCACAGTTTGGGGGCATTTTTAGTTAGTCCATTTTCCCCTCACCCTCACAGGAGGGGCAGGAATAATTCAGCAAGTTATGGCAGTGGAATTAGAAAAATTCACTTTACATTAAAGGTTGTTCCTAATCAATATTGGTTTGCTTTGCTGCCATGGCAAATGTTCCATTATCCTGTATAAAATATTCCCTGTAAAATAACCACAAAGTTTATCCCATCTGCATACATTTCCCAAGATTATGAGGAAATTTCCCAAGATTATGAGGCCCCTCTGAACATTTCCAAGCCGGGTTATTTTTTTTTTTAAGTCAGCAGAATACCAGGAATCAATCCACAAAATCATTTGATTTTAACACTTCAATATACATGGGGTTTATTTTTTTAAATATATTTTTTTTAATTTGTTTGGTTTGGTTTCTTGTTTAATTGTGGGGTTTCTTGGTCTTCACTTGTGTGTTTTATCACTTTGCTGACAGAACCAACACATGATACACTTAAAATGAAGTTCCTACTTAAGGGAAGAGATACAATATGTGCTTTTTATTTTGGATACAGAAGATACCAATCAAAAAAATTACCAAGGGGTTCACTAATGTTCCTGTAATAGAAAACAGCAGCTTTATGTCCTCTAATTTCAGATGTCATTACCTTTTCCAGTATATATATCATATTTCAAGCAACCACTTCTATTTTTCTACACATTTTCCTTTCAGAGTTTGTTTCACTTGCATTTTACCCATTTAATTCTGCTTCATTTAAAAATAAATATGTTGATTCAATGATAATACACAGAATGAGATGTATTTATAAATAGGAGACTTCCCATTTAATTTGGAGCTTCCAGGCACTACTAAAATTTTAAAAATTCAGTCTAATAACTTCCCTGGTCATTTAGTTACAGAGTTAACCAGAACTCACCTTATATTTACAATCTTCACCTGCAGAAAGAATCAGATCATTAACTGAATTCCAGTCAGTTTTTAAAATCAGTCCATCATGGGCTTTCCACTGAAATGGAAACAAAATAAATTAAGCACAGCCTGACTTCTTTATTTAATATTCATCATTCATTGACCTTCATGATCTTGGAGGTTTTATCCAATCTCAACGATTCTGTGATTCAGCAGAAAAATAAATTACATAAAGCCTGAACAAGGCAGAATCAAAGCAGGAAAATCTGCACTAAAAAGATGTTTTAAGTGCAAATTAAAACAGCTGCTTTTCATAAAAAATTAAAAGGGAAAGGCATCTGTACCCTTATTTATGGAAATAAATCACATTAATTAGTCACCTTATTGATAATACCTGCAAAACTTTAGCATTTGGCTGAAGAGGTTTAATAATCAGCTGCTTCCCTGACGTGTAAAGAACTTTTTCAGAGTCAGGTCCCCAGGCCACGGAGTACACGGGGCTTCCTGTGGGCATGGAAAACATTCCTGGTGACTCTTCCTGTCCTTTTAATGCCGTATTACATATGTGTGTGTGTGTATATATAAATATATATAAAAATAAAAATACTGTATTATGTCCACGTGTATTTCTATTTATTTATACACATATTTATATGCATAAAATACCATAGCTTCCAAATATTCAAACTCGAAACTGAGACCTGCTGCTGTTGCTCCTGAATATTTCTGTATTTCATGTATTTTCCTTTAGAAAGGCATTTATATTGCTTAGAACCACAGGATTATGTAAGATTTGTTTAACTGTCAACCCTTACAGGAGACAACTCACAGAAACACACAACATATATTAAGTAAATCTGGCCCTGGTTCTTTTCCTCCTGTTGCAAATGACATAAATTCTGTCACCAGCTGTAACAGGAATTCTAAATAAACTCATTTTTTTTTGTCCTGCTTTAATGCTGATTTAACAATCAGAAGAACTTTTCTATTTAAACCAAATGTTTCCCTTTTTTATGATGGCTGACTACTTAACCACAATTTCCAGGGCTTAACAGCAGGAGCTGAGTTAACTCATTTCCTTCTGCACTTAACAAGAACTTGGTTGGGAAAACACTGCCAACACTCTGGGAAGGAAAATTCAGTGGAACAGACACACTGCAGGCAGTTGTGTTGGTGATAAACAGCTGCAGGAAGGGATATTTGGGGAGAAGAGAAGGGAGAAAGGCAGAAAAGTTGGGATTTGAAGGAGGAACATCCGGA